TTTTTGGAGATTTGTTTTATTGCTAAAGAGGACAAAGACTTGACTTTGAGACGTAGAACTAGTCTACGGGCAAGCAATAAATTAGGAAGATGCCCTGGAAGACAAGTAATAATATATGGCCACTTACCAAAAGTTCAAAAAATATATGGCCTTTTTCGCACCAAAAGAAAAAAAAGTAATATATAGCCTTTAATATTCTCTTTTTAAGCTTAAACTTTGGGGCACTTATATATTAATTCTGGTGGAGTAATCTGAGCTCAATATTTATAACATTTTGTATTTCTGTAAATTGTTGCTCTTTAAGAATATAATCTTTAAATTCGTGCGATTTCTTTAACTAAATTAAAAAACTTACATTTGCGATTTAAGTACCAAATTAACAAAAAATACATGCATGACTATGCTAAAAATAAAAAGGCATGGCGCAAGGCCGAATAGAGACATTATTTTGTTTTCCCTTATCATAGTTAGAAAAAAAAAAAAAAACTCCCACGCATGTATTTCATGTACGTACGTGTCTAATACAACACAAATAATATTATACGCTACTCTGTTACTATTTGAAAAACTTATGTTTATTTGAAAAACTGATAGGACACTGATAATTTGAAAAACTTATGTTACTATTTATATACGTATTTGTATCCTACTCTGTTCATCTTCCCTTTGAATCCTTGATCTCATCTCAAAGAAGACAGCCCCAGACATTCCTTTCATGGACTCGTCCGTAGTGGATCCCTGCTCAGAGCTACTGATTTTAGTCATCCTACTACTTCTCAACTCCAATGACTCTTCCCAGCTACAAGTGAACGTTCCGTCACTGTTGTTATTAATCATGAAAGCAACTTCCTCCTCACCCTTAGCCTCCATTATTGCCCCACCAATCACGTCACATTTCGCTGTAGTTGCATAGCAAATTCCAGGCCCCACACGATGTCGTTCATCGACGGTCTCTCTGTCCCATTATCATGCATACAGGTCACAGTGATCTCACTGTATTTTTCAGATTACGATCCCGTTGCGGTAACAGTGTTGGGCCCACTCGGCTAGGCTTACTTGTCCCTTCTCGGCGTTGTGCATTATTGGTGGCTTGCCGCAAAGAACCTCGCACAAAACGACTCCGAATGAGTACATGTCGGATTTTTCTACAGTTGCTGACGTCTGTAGTACTCTGGGTCTAAATACTCGATACTGCCCTTGACGATTGTGCTGACGTGGGCTTTAGAAATGGTAGTGGGGCCCATTTTTGAAATCCTGAAATCGGAGACCTTGGCCACCCATTTAAATTTATCTACCACGTGGCATTTTTTATTTATTTATTATAGGATGATATAGTATGATTTGATTAGTTGGACACTAAAAAATTGAATACAGTCGTCAAGTTATAACTTTATTCAAGTTCACGTTCTTTTAAGTATCAACTTTATTCAACTTTATTCAACTTTATTCAAGTTACAACTTCAACTCAAGTTATAACTCAAATTCAACTCAAAAACTACACTCAAGTTACACTTTAAAAGGACATGCCCTAAAAAATTGAATACAGGATTTAGATCTAAAAATTTAGATTAGTTTCTAAAAACTCAAATTTCTTGTTCAATTTTAATGTCTATATTGATGTCTAATCAATTATATCATATCACATCGTATAAAAAATTAAATTACCTTTTAATAAGTTTTTTGTGCTTATTATGAAATAATATGATATAATTTAATTGGTTGAACATGACCAAAAAAAAAATGAACTTTTCTAGTACTACAAATTAATATTTAAAGGCCGGCAGTGACGAAGCTAACGCAGAAATCAGTGTGGCAAGAGTGAGAGGAAAGTAGGAAACCGTGGAAGCCACTATAATGAGGGGTCTCTCTTTAACGCTGTCGGTGATGGCTATAGCTATTATACTCAGCACAAGTCACAGCGGACTCGGAGCGAGTGGTTATTCAACTGCACCGACGAGCAATGGCACCGACACCTCCGTCTGCCTGGACGAGTTCTGCCAGCTCCTCGCTCACCGGGACGTGGAGTTGGAGTTCCAGATGCCTTCCGAAATTACCCGCCGGTTCCTGGGCTACTCAAGTGCTCGTCCAAGCTATTCGGCACTTAACAGAGATAAACCTGCGGGTGATTTTAAGTGCAGGCCAAAATGCGCCCCGGGTAAAAACAAAGGCTCATATCTTAAGAAACCTCACTGCGGCCAGTACGAGCGCGGTTGCTACCAGGCCAAATAGGTAAAATACATTCTAGGTTGCGGTCCCCGCGGTAAATTATCAAACCTTTTTCATTTTGGTCTCCGTTCGGTGGTATCTATTGTATTTAATTTGCGCATCCTTTAATGGGGAAAAAATCTGGTATGGGTCACCGGAAAATAAGACACCCGACCAGCTTGATGTCGTATTATTCCATTAATAAAAAAAAAATCCGATCGAATTAGTATATGCCGGTTTTCTTGAATGATATTCTTCTTGCATACCATTTTTTTTAACCTTTCCTATATATTTTTTTCCTATAATTGTAACACACAATTTTCTTTTTTGGTTATCTAGGTTCTGATCATACATGACAGTGAAACTAATGAAGTCAAAAGCCAAGTAGTTCTGTCTTAGAACTTTTTTTTTTTTTTTTTTTTTTCCGCACAAATTTCTCTCTATTTAAGCTTTTATTTATTTATTTATTTTTCGGTGTTTTTCTCTCTCACCCAAGATCATCATCCACAATGCAAATGTTCGTAGTATCTTTAGTACAAAATCACTAATATAATATTTCTTTTCGACCCAATATTTAGCTATTGAATTAGGGGTAAGATAGTGTTGAGTTATGGAGTCTAATTAATTGCACTGTAAATCGTCTTACATAGAAGATTTCATGGAAATACTGCAGCGGTTGCAAGAGAACATTGTTTTACATTGAGGCTAACCTCTATAAATTTCGTGTGTCAATTTTACATGTTTTGTTTTCTTGTATTTTTATTACTTTCAGTTATGCAAAATTAGAGTGTCTAAAGATCTTAACAGATAATACTAATGTACCATTAAGATCGGAAGTCATAATACAAGAGGGGGGTTGCCATTTTATTCTTCAATATCAAATTTGTGCGGCGACTACTAATCAAACTACATTAATTTTAAGATAAAAAAAAAAATAAGAAAACACAAAATTGATTCTCATTTCTCAGTTCTAATAAGTAAATATGCATTGTTCTCATATGATATATGCATTGTTCTCATAAACAGTTCTAATAAGTAAATATGCATTTTTCTCATTTCGCTTGAGTACTTCACGGCTGGTTTAACACTGTGAACAGCTGTTCGACAAAGACTATAGCTGGGGTAGGTGGGTGCATTATAGTTGCTCAACAATTTGTTGTTATCCATCCAGTGACCTTGCCATGTGCAAACTCACAATCTCTTTTACTGAAGTGGACGGCGCAACAACGCCCATAGAATAAATTAAAAGAGCATCCATCAATTTTAAAATATGTGACACCAGTAACGACAAATATATAAAGTTATAGACAATGTGCAAGGATTAATGACAAGTTCATTGACGATAGATTTTTATTTACATTACATATACATGATGTGACTTTGGCTTTGTGCCTAACAACCAAAGTTTTGTGCAGTCTCCAGTACAAATCAACCTCTAGTGCATTTAATACAGTAGCCATTATTTCCCATATGTTACTTTACAATGTAAATTAGTAATGAATTATTCCAGCTTATATGTCCTTTTGAAAACCTGATGCCTGTGTCTCGAATAGTTATTTTCGATGAAACAAATTCACAGGACCGTCATTTGTATTTGTACGCAATCGATGTATGACTCATAATAACTAAGCAGATTTTTGTGTTGTGAAGTTTCGAGTTAAACAACATATAATATAGGGAGAAATATTACCTTCTAATGAAGATGCCAGACAAATGGTACTTCAGAGCATGTCTCTTGTGTAGTATATATTAAAATTAAAAAATAAAATAAAAACAAGAAGAGAAGATCGATAATGTGCTTTTTTTCATGGATTAAAAAAAAAGAAGATTCATTAGTAATTAAGTTGCATTAAATATAAACTCTACATAAATACAAAATACAAATCGTATGAGTTATAGCATTTTCTAAGATAAAAATATATACAAATAAATGAAAACTCCTAATAAAGATATAACTATATGCAAAGTGTTAACTTTCCTAATAGTATAGTGCTAAGTTATTTGTTCTCAGTTTTG